GGTTCAGATCTTTGATCCATTTTGAGTTGATTTTTGTTAACAGTGAAAGATGGGGGTTCAGTTTCAACTTTCTGCAGGTGGACACCCAGTTTCTCCAGCACCATTTACTAAAGAGGTTTTCCTTTACCCAATGGGTTGACTGATATCCTTTGTCAAAAATCAGCTGGCTGTAAGCTTTGGGGGTTACTTCTGGGATCTCTATTCTATTCCATTGGTCCACATGACTTTTTTTTTTTTTTTTTGAGAGGTTTTTTGCTATAGGGCACGTGCGCTCGCCAGACAGACAGAGACAGAGACAGAAAGCGAGAAATCACCCCCCAGGGGGGATGGTCATGCCGCAATCCCTTCTCCTCCATTCTCCTCTTAGGATCTTGGGCATGTACGCACACGCGCCCGGCGTGAGTTTTAAGCCACCGGGTCCGGACATGAACCACAGTCAACTACGTGGGAGTCTAGCGACATAGCCATTACGCTAACTGCTGGTTCCCGCACATGACTGTTTTTGTGCGAATACCATGCTGTTTTGATGATCACAGCTTTATAGTATACTATAGCTCTATAGTATCTTGGGATCACAGAGTGAGATGCCTCCTACTCCGTGAGGTCTTTTATGATTCCAGACAAATTCTATGATTGTCTTTTCTAGATCTGTGAAGAATATTTCTGGTATTTTGATTGGAATTGCACTAAATATGTAGGTTAATTTGGGTAGAATTGCCATTTTGATTATGTTAATTCTTCCAATCCAGGAACATGGGATGAAAATATGGAATGCTTCACGAATTTTGCATGTCATCCTTGCACAGGGGCCATGCTAATCTTCTCTGTATTGTTCCAATTTTAGTATATGTGCTGCTAGCTAAATTTCTGTTGTATAATGTAATACAGAGTGCTTAGACATTCATCTCTGTTTTCTTTACCTTGGATGAGAAATTCATTTATTCATTTATTTGTTAATTCAGCCAGTATGTGCTGGGGTTGAGATGAACATACAATTTATTATCCAAACAGGAATAATTTCAAATGAGAAAGGTACTTTATTAATTCCACCAAGACAATGGACTCATACCAGGACTGTCTGGAACAGAATGAGAAATGATATGGTCACCCCAATTGCAGAGTACTCTCTGTATACCAGAACCTACACTGCCTTGTACAAAATTTTTTTAAAAAATGTCTACAATTGGTTGAGAAATTATTCATTTCCAGATCCAAAATCAGCACTAACTCACCTCCTTTTAAACTACCAAAAGGTTCTGTGAGCCTATTGATCTATCAGGTGAAATAAAAAGGTGTGCTTAGGTCATTCGGCTACTGATTTTTCTGACTTGAAACAATTCTCTTTCTCTCTCCTTTTAAATTTCTTTCTTTCTTCCATGAGCAAGAGAAAGAAAGAAAGTCACCCACAACAGCGTCCTCACACTATGATTCACGCCAGCCTCAGCCAGACCCAGATTACGCCCAGAGTAAAACATTCTCTCTACTTAAATAGGGTAGAATAGGGTCACAGTGTGAGGACCACATTGGGTGGACTTCTCTCTCTCTGGAGAAATAAAGTTTTATTTAAAAAAATATTCTTATAGTGTTTTGGTTTATTAGAAAACGAATTAGTTGGGAATAAATATTTAAATAAAGTACAATGTAGCAAAAAAATTTCCTTCACTCTGTTTTATTATGAAATATACACAGACCTCCAAAATATTTTCTCCTTATAAATAGACTTTGACTCACATGTAGGACTGGAAGAAACCATTCTCTCATGATGTCAGGCTGATGAGTGTATGAAGACTTTGCTCAGGGCGAGTTGCACTAGGGAAAAGGGGCATAGTTCTTGCAGCCCCATAGGACTGACTTTCAATGTTTTCTGGCAGTTCCAGTCCAGTCTCTGAGATCACACCATTTCATTCAGTCTCTCCATGTTCTTATATCTAAACAAACAAGTTTCAACTCCCACCCACCCATGTTCTCATCCCTTTCAAATATCAGATGTACATGTCCTCATGACCAGCAGCAAAGCCAAAGAATGACTGGAATCTCAGTTTAATCCTGTGAAACAGGTCAATTATATGAAGAGGGAGGTAACTTCCCTAAGTGTCCCAAAATGAGGTCACTTTTGGCTCTGTTCTGACTAAATAAATAGCCCGAGTGGTTGAATTCCATCATTTCAAGAAAAAGTTACTACAGTGTGAATATGGTTCTGGACTTTGTGACCTTGGGCAATGTTAAGGGTTGAATTGTGTTTCTTTCACCTCCAAAATTCGTATGTCGAACACCTAACCCCCAGTACCTCAACAGTATCTGAGAATGTAATCATACTGGAAAATAAGGTCTTTAAAGGGATAATTCAGTTAAAATAAGGTGTGTAGGATAGACCCTATAGGAAGAGGAGATTAGGGTAGACACATGTGTGCAGAGAGGAAAGACCATAGGAAGATATAGCTGGGAAGGTGGCCATCTGCAAGCTGAGAAGAGAGGCCCAGAAAAAAATCAAACCTACCCAAACCTTGATTGGACTTCCAGCCTCCAGAACTGTGAGAAAATTAATTTCTGTTCTTTTAACTCCCAGCCTGTGGGACTTTGTTATGGAAGACCCAGGAAATGAATACAGGTAATTCTTTACTGTGACATAAAATATGCACCTGTTATTTCCCAAAGACAAAGTTAAATGGGAAGGAAATCAGTCTTGTTTTGTAATTAAGAGTATTGCTGATACACACTTGTTCTGTATAAAACATATTCATCAGGACCAGCAGTTAGTGTAATGGCTCTGTCGCTGGACTCCCATGTAGTTGACCGTGGTTCAAGTCCCTCACCCAGTGGCTTAAACATGTGTGCGTGTGCATGCGTGCCCAAGATCCTGAGAAGAGATTGGAGGAGAAGGGATTGTAGAGTGGCCATCCCCCTTGAGGGGGGGGTGATTTCTCATTTTCTGTCTCTCTGTCTCTCTCTATCTTTCTGGCGAGCACACGCACCCTATAGCAAAAAAACTCTCAAAAAAAAAAAAAAAACCCTAAAACAAAAAAACATATTCATCTATTTTCACAAGTTCTAACCATCCAGAAGAGGCTAGTGTGTGACTACTTGAGTTTTATGCCATCCCTGCTATAGAATTTACTAATGACCAGGATTTCATGGAATTATATCCTTTCTGCAACTCAGATGAGACTTGGCCCTTTCCAGTAGTATCTCAAGGTAATGATGAACTAGTTTTGATTGTAATTCAAGTTGAATCAGCAAAATTCTTAACATTGAACCTCAAAATTTAAGTATCATACAATATTTCAAAGGCAGAGAAAAAATGTACTTAATATCTGTGTCAATTTTTTTAACTCTCTTGTACCCTTTTGTTACCCAGTCTCACACATAGAACTTTTGAAATCGCCTTCATACCAGCAGTGATTGCTACTGCCTTTCATTAAACCCTTATATTTCTGGCCCTCCTGTTATCCACTCAGTAAAATCATTCTGAGGAAACACAGTATCATGTAAGGGGTGAGGAGCACAGTTGTTTGTGTTTGATTCCCAGCTCTGTCACTTACTGGTTGTGTGACTTCATCCAAATCTAAGTTCCAAACCCTTCATGAATAAAATAAAGGTAATAACAGTACCTCATAGTACTATTGGAGAATTAAATGAAAAAAACAAGTAAACAGCATTTAGCATAGTACATAGACTCTCAGAAAATACCAGCTGTGTTTTATTAACCTTTTAAAATCCATCACCTTACAATGTTTTATTATGTTTTCTTATGAGTCATTCCACTGGCCAAGATTTTCCCAGGCTAAACTTTCTTGTAATTTATATTGTTTTCATGTCTATGACAGAAAAGACACTGTCTTTTTCAAACATTGTAGTCTCCTCCCACCCAAGATTCTTGGTACTCATTGAAAGAGCCAAGCACTCTCCACTTGAGACTCACTGTCCTATCTGATATTTCTCACATTCCCCAATCTAGTCCATTCTCCCTGCTACCCCATGTTTCCGAGTTCTTTTCTAAATCACTGAACCCATCTTTACAATCCTCCAAGGCCTATTCCAGTTCACAAAATCAAACCCAATTGCTTTCACATAGCCCACAGCCATCTTTGTCAAACTGACTCCACTTCCATATCCTCATCTCCAGACATGAATCTCAGAATGTAGACTGTTGGACAGTAGGTGCTCCATGTTTAAGAAGAGTGCCTGGAAAGGCCAATAGGTGGTACGGAGGTTAAGACACTGGATTCCCACATGGCCAACCTCAGTTCAAGTCCTGGACCCAGCACCTTGAAAATCATGCCAGACATGTGTGCGTGCATCCCCAAAATTCCAAGAGGAAAATGAGGGAGAAGGGGGGAGTGGCCATCCCTCCTGAGGGGTTATTTTAAGTATCATACAATATTTCAAAGGCAGAGAAAAAATGTACTTAATATCTGTGTCAATTTTTTTAACTCTCTTGTACCCTTTTGTTACCCAGTCTCACACATAGAACTTTTGAAATCGCCTTCATACCAGCAGTGATTGCTACTGCCTTTCATTAAACCCTTATATTTCTGGCCCTCCTGTTATCCACTCAGTAAAATCATTCTGAGGAAACACAGTATCATGTAAGGGGTGAGGAGCACAGTTGTTTGTGTTTGATTCCCAGCTCTGTCACTTACTGGTTGTGTGACTTCATCCAAATCTAAGTTCCAAACCCTTCATGAATAAAATAAAGGTAATAACAGTACCTCATAGTACTATTGGAGAATTAAATGAAAAAAACAAGTAAACAGCATTTAGCATAGTACATAGACTCTCAGAAAATACCAGCTGTGTTTTATTAACCTTTTAAAATCCATCACCTTACAATGTTTTATTATGTTTTCTTATGAGTCATTCCACTGGCCAAGATTTTCCCAGGCTAAACTTTCTTGTAATTTATATTGTTTTCATGTCTATGACAGAAAAGACACTGTCTTTTTCAAACATTGTAGTCTCCTCCCACCCAAGATTCTTGGTACTCATTGAAAGAGCCAAGCACTCTCCACTTGAGACTCACTGTCCTATCTGATATTTCTCACATTCCCCAATCTAGTCCATTCTCCCTGCTACCCCATGTTTCCGAGTTCTTTTCTAAATCACTGAACCCATCTTTACAATCCTCCAAGGCCTATTCCAGTTCACAAAATCAAACCCAATTGCTTTCACATAGCCCACAGCCATCTTTGTCAAACTGACTCCACTTCCATATCCTCATCTCCAGACATGAATCTCAGAATGTAGACTGTTGGACAGTAGGTGCTCCATGTTTAAGAAGAGTGCCTGGAAAGGCCAATAGGTGGTACGGAGGTTAAGACACTGGATTCCCACATGGCCAACCTCAGTTCAAGTCCTGGACCCAGCACCTTGAAAATCATGCCAGACATGTGTGCGTGCATCCCCAAAATTCCAAGAGGAAAATGAGGGAGAAGGGGGGAGTGGCCATCCCTCCTGAGGGGTTATTTTCTCACTTTCCCTCTCTCTATCTCTTTCTGCTGAGTGTACACACTCTATGGCAAAACCCTTTTTTAAAAAGGTGATGGGGGGAGCCTGGAGAACATGCACTGGTCAGTCTTGTTTCCCCTCCACCAGCACTTGTAGCACTTGCTTCTGTTTCTTTGAGCAGCTATAATACATGACCACTAGTTTGATGGTTAAAACAACAGAAATTTATTCTCCCAGATCTGGAGTCCAGAATCTAAATCAAGGTGCCAGCAGGGTCATGCTCCCACCAAAAGTGCTCAGAGAGCATTCTTCTTCATCTCTTCCAACTTTGGGTGGCCCCTGTGTTCCCTGACCTGTGGCTGCATAGCTTCAGTCTCCGCCTCCCTCTTTACCTGTCTCCTTCCCCCTGCTTCTTATATATCT